CCCCGCCCCAGCCGCCCCCCCGCCAGCCGCTGCTGAAACTGACCAGTGGCTGACTACAGGAAGCCCAGGGCAGAGCAACTCTGCCTCAGCCTTCCTGTAGTCAGCCGCTGGTCAGTTTCAGCAGCGGCTGAATCTGGACGCCAGTTCTGACTTACATACAAATTCAACTTAAGAACAAACCTACAGTCCCTATCTTGTACGTAACCCGGGACTGCCTGTACTTACACTCAACAAAACCTGCCCTTAGCTTCAGCAGAGGATGATTAAGGACACAAAATAATGCTGACCTCCGTGAAAATCTTTTACTATTCAAAGAAACAAAGTAAATTCTTACTTGAGTTCATCTTCTTCGATAAAACCGCTTTGATCATTGTCTAAGAGCCGGAAGATATCCTTGATCTGGCTGCTGCTCTTTTTGGACATGCCACTAATCTGAAAGAATTTTTTGTGGCTGAAAGAATCTGGTGCTGGAGGGAAACAATAAAAACCAGCGTGATCCAAGTCACTTGTACTCCTAGTCTTAGCTTCAAATTTTGAACAGTCTGATTGTGCCACTTTTGATATTTTAATTTTATTATGATAGATGTAAATAGTAGTAAAAAAAAAAAGCCTGGCCATAAAAGAAGCTGTAAGTGCCATTTTAATTAAACTGATAACATAATAAATGAACAACCAGAAACATTTAAAAAATCATATATGAGCAACACACATATAAACTCAGCACACCAGCAATCTTAGTCATGAACGGTAACAAATTAAGTCAGTCAGCCACTTAAGTCAGACAACAAAACATCTCTTTTCTAAGGTGAACTCTCTGGAACCATATCTTCAATATTCCTTGAGGACTGAATTACATTTGTTACATAACAGATCTCTGTTTACCTATAGTTTTTCTTACCTTGGCAGTCCCGCAGGGCAGCAGCAATATCACCAGGGCTGAGGATGTCAGTGATGCTCATTTTAAACCTGGTAAAAAAATGTATTGCAGATAGGTACAAATGAATTGCAAACATCTACACAAGTAAATATGCCCTCTCTGTCAGCTCTTTTTAGAGTTTTATAATAGACCATTTTAATAAATGTAAATATTGTAACAGGACTATTTTAAGGGAAGAGAAGCTAATTAGTAAACATCAAAGTTACTGTTACTTAATCAATTTTAATCAATTTGCTTGCATGAACATAAATTTAAGTTGGTGACACATTTTTATTTTTTAGCTACTCAATATTTAGGCTGGGCAGACAGATTTAAACTTTCTATGTAACATTTAAAATAACCTAACCACTAGTTACTTGGAATGTGTGACATTTAGAAATATATAATAACAGGGTACATAGGAAAAAGGAAAAGAAAGGGTTTTATTCCTCCACCAGCAAGCCTGAAAAAGAAAACAAAAATGGGTACTTATCTACATAAGCTCCATTTGTATGTAAGCTCCAGAGATAAAAGGGAACATCTTACACCATGAGCTACTGTACTTACTACTGGATCACCCTTGCCCAGATCTGCTCTTTAATCTCTAGTTGACGGCTCACCTTTTTGATTTTCCCAAGTAGGTGAAGAAAAAATAGCTGAAGAGATATGAGACAAAACAGTAATGTTTTCAGGCTTGCCAACCTGGCTTATATAGGATTGACAAGGTGACAATAACCACTACTTAGGTTACCTTGTCATGGATCAAATGCTCAATTTCAGACCAAGCTCAAATTTCCTACCTAACTAAATAACCTTTTTTCTATTTATATGCTAAGAGAATACAAACAAGAGCAGCAATTTTTTAATAAATCCACATATGTGCTTAATTTAATTTTCAACGCTTCTATCGAGACATAATCTTATAAAGGCCAAGGATTTGGGGTTTGCAAACAGCATCCACATTTTAAAGTCACATACTGGAAGGTGTGACAGTCAGATCCTTAGAAAAGAAAAGCCAGTTAGGTTTTCCTTACTGTTGTCTGTTGACTTTGAGGAGGCTCAGTGGAAGCTAGAGATGAAAGAACTGAAGTGATGTGTCAGTCAGACAAAGAGAACTTGTCATTAAGATAGAGGAAAGCAGATGTTTTGGATGATCTTTCTACAGCAAGCTTGATTTTCAAATGTCCAATCCATTTTTCAAATTTAAGTGCCCTCCCTGAGGGTGTGTCTAGACTACATGCCTCCTTCGACGGAAAGTGCTCTCCCTGAAAAGGGAGAGAGGGGAGACCAAAACAATTACTTACAGCAAAAGCCAGCTAAGCTAGGATAAAATAAACAAGTTAGTTTTGTTATCCATTTCTTTCTTGCAGGACAGGGTAGCCTATCTAAATAATCCATATTTGAGTCATTTTAAAGACATGGAATAGACAACAGCTGTGTTTTACAAATGAAAGATTGGATCTTAGTGGGACTATAGACCTATACAAAAAACAACACAAGGAATTTCCTTAAAGTGCAATTAAAATTCCAGGTTTACCATGATTATTAAATTCCACATTAACTTTCAAGAATATTACAGTTGTAAAGAAATCTCTCAAATGTTAGAAAGCCTGGAACTGCAGAGTTCAGATTACGCTTCGCAAGCAAGAGTGTACTAATGGGATTAAGAATTATTCATGTGAGTAGGGGTTGCAGGATGAAGACCACAGTAAAAGAATTTGAATTGTTAGTTTTGTGTTTACAGATTCATCTGGTTTTAGTACAGTAATTAATTTATGCCTATATAATCCCCTTGAAGTATATGTATTGCTCTTGTTAGTATTGGTGGGAATTGTATATTATAGGGCATGTCTACACTGGGGAGTTTAAAAATAACTCCCCTAATTTCGAAATAACAAGGCAAATGTCCACACTCCGAAGCCTTTTATTTCATAATGAGGGACTTGTTATTTTGAAATAATAACTCCTGCTTGTGAAGAGGAATAAGCTTATTTTGAAATAGTTATTTCAGGAGATATTATTTCAAAATAAATTATTTTGAAATAACCTGGTAGTGTAGACATAGCCATACTAATCAGAGAACATGTCTCACAGGAGATAAAAGTCACATGTTTTGTACTACCGATAACATATATAATAAGCCTAAGCTTGATTCTCCTCTGGTATTTATGTAGCTTCATGATGTCAATGGATTTACTAGTGATCTATGTAGTATTAGTGAGAGGAGTATCAGTCCAGAGTATTTGGACTGTCACTTTTATTTACTAGAACTTGGAAATATAAAGCATTATAAAAATATAAAAAGAAATAATTTAATAGTTATTTCCTTTACAGTCACACATTTTTTCAGAAGTCTTGCTTTAACTGCCTTGTTAATTTTGCACAATTAATAATAAAATAAGATCCATCGGCTTAAATGGGGCAGTTGATGTGAATTGACCTAAATCCTATTTCTACCAGTGGAGTATCTGGCCCCGAAATATCTACTCGAATATCATTGGATAGGAATTAATTGCATTGTTTGCACAAACAGGGACAATTCTATACTCTCTGGCTAGAATATGAACAATGGCACTTTAGGCTAAATCTTGAAAACTTTACCTCATCCCATACTCAGTTAAAATTACACTTGAGGTCAGTTAGAATATTGCTTCAATAAAGACTAAACGAAATGGAACACAGACTTCAGGATTCATCTCCATAAACAGGGTATCATATGAACTATACCAAATAATGAACGTTTTCAGCAGGCTCTTTTCCTGTCTCTGGAAAGTTATTTGTAGTAATCATGGTTCTCACTTTGTAATATAGTCCAGATCCTTAGCTGGTGCAAATCAGTATATCTCAAATTATTTTAATGGAGCTGTGCTGATTTGCACCCTGTGAAGATCTGGTCCCATGGCTTTCCACGGTCCTACCCATCCTTTCAGCTCAGAATATCATACTCCTGTTAATGTTCCATTTAAAATTTGTTATAATCTGTCTGTGAGAGGAAGTGGGATTAAGGTAATATGTATTTTCTGCAGATTTTTTCCCATAAATTGCTCCTTTCTCTTTCAGGTGTGTTTTGCATCCTCTTCTGTATCTTCCATTTTATGTCCTCCTCTGTCTTTTTAAGATCATGTGAACTCTCACACTATAACATCCTTGATGAATTTTTCTCTTCACATACTAGCGTGTTGCTTCTGAATTCTTATTAGGATTTATGTTAGCACCCAAGTGTTTTCTTGTTAGAATTTACACTTCAGTGGGATCAGGATTGAACCTCTGGACTTTATTGTGGCTTCCTTTGTTTCCACTTGGATTCTTTATATGCCACTTGCAGAACTCTTTTATTCTTAAGAATTTGGTTTGCCAGGTGACACTAATTTGCATAGAAAAAGAAATATAAATTATACTGAAAACAACATCAAGACCAAGGCTATTATGGAAGACTTGACAAGACCTGGAATATTTCTGGTGTTCTGCCAGCTACCAAAACATTCTCCCCTCCCTACCTTGACATTGAATTGTGTCATGTATCTAGTGTAAAAAATCAACCAAGTGTATTTTAATATTGCAATTTACAAAACATTACACTAGTGGATTAAATTTCTTAGGGAGGCCACCACATAAACATTTGCTTGTACTACATCCATGATCAACTCTGCATTGAAGAACAGTTCAAAGGACTGTGCTTGATTGTCTCATAAGTGTTGTCACTCAGAGAACAAAGCATTTAAACCATTTGCCCCAAGCTAAATATTCATAAGCAGTAAAGTAACTGAAATAAGCTGTACAGTAAAGGATATAAAATAAAAGTAGGGCAAAAGTAGAGTGATTGCCACAGTTAAAGATGGGGTTCTGTAATGTTTGAAATTCAACACCGAGACCAAATGTGATGCTAATCCTCTCTGAAAGATGGGTTACAAAAGCCTAAAAGAGCTGAATTTCAGAATGAAGTTGATGTCACTGTATAATGATACAGGTGAAATCTAGAGTTACTGGCATTTATTTATTAATGACACTCTTCATCTGCTTTCGCTCCCCTACAGTTAGAACAAAATCATCCTGGAGGAGTGTATCATATAAAGAGATATTTTAATTAAATAAGTTACTCTTCAATACCTGAATATATTGGTTTTTGGACCGATATTTCTTTCTTTTAAATCAACTATTTACATTTTAGTAGTGTAAGGAGTTTATAAAAATGAAATAACACAAAAGGACAAAGAGATATTTTATAAAAAAAAATAATGTGCAGTCAGTGCACAAGTATGGTGTGGACATATGAGACTTTAAATAATGAAACAATCTTTGAGCTATCAACTATTTACATTAGCTAAGGATCTGGACCCAAAGCAGAGAATTCTGTTTTCTGTAGTGCTTGGCCAGTTTTCTTAATAGTTCTAGAAATCAATTAAAGAAACACAAGTTGTTTTGTCTTTATTTTGTTTTTTGCTTAATAGGGATGTTTTAAATCCCCCCACTGAATTGTTTTTCTGGAAAGCTACCTGGTACATAACTTTCCTTCTACATTTGTTTTACTGCCTGCACCCATTTAAACACAATGCTTTTAGGGGAAAACTGGTTTTGGGTTCAAAATTTCAGAATTAAATTAAAAAGCGCACTTCAACAAATATGAAGCAATTCATGTTGTGAAGTTCTAACCATGGAATGAACCTGCTCACAGTATAGTCTAAATGAAAGTATTACAGCGTATCTAGTTAAAATATTTTCTGAGCTATTTCCTAATTTATTTCCACTAACTTCTTCCATAAGCATAGGGGAACTTGCACTACATTAAAACACTGACATTCTTCAGGCTGTTCCTTTACTCTTTGCCTTCTGTTTGCTATAAGCTATATAGAATTAATTAGCAAGTAACAGTCAACTAGGACATTAACACCAACAGATGCAAGAGAAGCTTCAACGGCAGTGTCAGGTGAGACTAGAGAAGTGCTAATATGAGACCAGCTACAACAGTGGAAAAGGATGCTCTAACAGCCGTTCTAAAAAACATACAACTCCATCTTCCAACTCCACTCATGTCAGAGGTGATGCTGTGGTATCATCCCTTTTGTCTCTGGTTTGGAGGTGACTGGAGTAGAAGCTCAACAGTCCATAGAGCCTGGTCCTCCTTTACACTAAAGCCTTCTATACAATTCTGATAGTGTAACAAATAGTGGGTGTAAGTAAATTATAGCATGAAGGGTCCATATAGTAAATGAGAATCATGCCCCACCACCAACCAAGTCATGATATGTCACTTCCAGTACTCTCCCAGAGAATACACCTCCATTATAAGAAAATAAATAGTTCCATCCAGGTCATTTCCAAAAGTCTTTATATCAGATGGAATTTGGTATTTGGCATAGACCCTCAAGGAAATAGAACAAGAGACATTTGGGGAATAAACTATTTTCTGTTTGATTATTTTCTGCTATGACCACTGTGACAATACACTGAAAAATCAAGACAGGTGACATCTTAGTCCTACATGTGTCAATAGCAAAACTTCTATAGACTACAAGGTGGCTAGGATATCAGCCAAAGTTTTGGGTGGGAGCTTAGGGTGTGTAACAAAGGGAGGATACACCCTAAAGAGCTGAAATGTCTCGAGCTAAAGAATGAAATTTATTTCTCCCCTATTATCCTATAGTAAGACAGAGGGTTATGTACTTTCCCATTCCTAGTAACTAAGATATTTTTGTATGAAAGACAAGTGCAGAATAAACACTGTGATGAACTTCAGCAGAATTATTCCTAAATATTTCTGTCCAGAGTACTTTTTTAATTTAAAAAGCTGAAGCAACATAAGATGACATCTCTGTGTCTCTGCTAACATTTGATATGCTCTATGATCATCATTAAACAAAATGTCTAGTGTCACCATGACCGAGTAACGCTATCTAATGACCCTGACACGACACATGATGGTTTAAGATGTTTCTGGTTGCTGTCAGCGGCACAATCAAGTATTCAGATTTCCCCTGTATTTCAACAATAACTTTGCCCTAAAGGTTAGAAGATGTTTAAGATCTTGGGCGCCACCTTTTAGTATATGTAATAGATATGGAGAGCTACAGTATTTGTTTCAGTTACTTCTGCAAGGGAGCCAGCACTCTTCACCAAATAGTTCCAACTCACAGTGACCAACCATGTAAAGAGCAGTAGTAAATAAAACA